AATACCATTTATGTCATTTTCTCCAATAACTTTACTAAAGCGTTTAATTTCTTAATACTTCTAAAAACTCCTGCGTTATCTGCAGTCATCTCTCAACAAAATCACTGATAACCTGAACCACAACTCACATCTCCGTCAGTTTTGCTTCCTCAATAAATTTTTCTTAACTTAGAAATAACATTACCTCAGATGGGATCCTGTGAATGAAAAGTAAAGTCACCCATTAATTTTTCAGAATTCTATATATAATCCTTGTTCTTTGTGTCCTTCATACAGGTCCAAGTGTGCATGAATAGACGTATGGAACTTAGAAACCTCATGTTGCATATTTTTTAAAATGCTTATTATTAATTCAGCTTTTTCTGTTAAGAAAGACTCCAGTTTGCTTGAAAAATAAGTCATGCTGCTGCTAAACTGTTATTTTTCAATATAATACAAAGACCTCTGAGTCCTGATAATGCTTTTAGCTACTCCATAGGAGCAGAAAGCCTTATAAATTATAAACGTGTATTAATTTTTAAAGCGGGTCTAAAAATGCTAGCCAGCCCTAAGGAACTGATGGACTACAGTAGCAGATCTTAGCAAGCAGAGACATTAACTGGTAAGTGAAAATGTAGGGTTTATGCTTGAAATGAACAAATCTCTGTCCCCTCACTCCACCCCTAAGGCCCTAGTGTTTGAGTAATTTTTGCAAGTACAACTTGAAAATGTTACCCTGTGTTCCCATGAGGATATTCAATAACTACAAATTCCTATTTTAATACAGACTCCCCAAAGAGGGCATTTTGTAATATTCTGTCATTTTAAGAGTTCTCCTCAGATGTGAGGTAAGAATATTAATGTCTCACAACATAGTAACTGCTTGTGAAGTTGTCAGCAAGACAAAGTGAACACTGCATTTATTTTTTCACTATTAACTGTGGTCTTGTTGGAGAAGGTAAAGATCAAGATCTTGGTCAGCAGGCTTCCAGTTACCTTCTCCTGCTTTAAAGTACTTCCAGAGCTGCATACTCCCATTTGTTTGCTAACTACATCTTTTTCTCCAGAAATATGTGAATAGTGAGAAAAGAATCTGAAAAGGAACTGCCTTGCTCCCTAACCCCTTCTCTGTTGGCTGTCACTTGCAGGAACAGCACTGCGTTAAGGCTTACCAAGTTAAAAACAAGAATTGTTTTTACAAGATTACTGAGCTAGCGCAGCTGGAAATGCTGTTCTTTAGCATCACGCAACCATCCCTGGGCAATATTGCCGATACTGATATTGTTGGATGTATTTATTGTAGCACCAGGACTGCGACCTTATCAGCATTTACAGGTGTGCTCTACTTCAAGTCAAAGATTACATTCTTATGCTTTTAAAAATCTGATTATTCATCAAGATGAAGCTAAGCAACTCGGATGGTGAACGGCTACGGTTCTTCCTTGTAATTCTGTTCAGATACAAAAGACTTGGTGGTATAAAATCTCCTTGGCATGTAGCGAGTGGCCTCCTTTTGCTGTACACGCTATTTCACAGAATGCTTCACACATTCCTGCATATCATTTCTTTTCATGGCTGCATGTCAAAGCAGTAATTGTAGATCTTTTCTATGCTTGAAATCTTTCCAGTTAAAATTACAAAGGCCTTCCAATGGGCATAGACTAAAATTCAGGTTTTGGTACGAAGCAGCATTCTCTTCGGAGACTGAAGTACCAATTGCTTTTGGTATAACGTACCAAAGGTGTAGTGAAACACCTTCTTGCTGTTGTCAGGTCAGGCACACAAATTATACTCTTTATTTTTGTATGCTACAACTAGATGTGTCATTAGAAGTATTTGCTGGGTGACTAATTAGAACCGTGCATGTAGCTAAGGGAGGAACCAACAGGCCTGATCAGAAAAGGCTTGAATTCAGCTTTCTCTGTGTCCCTGCACGTCAGCCCCACTTGCTGATATCAAAAAGAAGCAGGGGACCGATGCAACCTTGCTAGATTTCCTAAGTACTTCTGAAAAACATCTTTGCATAACCTTGGCTCAAAGTACAGCAGACAGATGAAAACATTACGTGGCAAGAAATAACAGAGTGCTACACTATTGCTTACAGAATTGGGTTCTGTGCATGAGAATATTAACCCAGAAGTGCACTTCCCTTACTTCTGCAAAGACAGAGGGATACTGGCAACAAGTGAGGAAACAACAGCAGCCGATGAAGCTGGGGAATATGGACAAGCCCTGAGTACCTGGAAAGCCCTTCTACCTTTTTCATGTCTTTGACCGTACCAAACTGGCATCTCTGAACATCAGTAGATATCTCCTGCCCTTCTAGAGCCGAGAGCTATTGAGTCTTACTATGTGCCATTAGTGCAGTCTTAATGCATCATCAGACTGTGGATACAAAGGAAAAACAGGTGCACAGAAGCAAGATCAGAGCTGGCTGCTGCCAAGTCCCAGCAAAGCTCCGCAACACTGAAACGTGTAAGCTGGGAAGGAATTCTTGGAGCTTTATACTAAACTCACAGTTTTGTTCTTGCATGAAGCTAGCTACAGAAGAGGAATTTTAGTGTCTTGCAGGAAAGTACGTATGGAGTCGAAGCTGGGACAGAAGAAGAAAGTCACCAGTCTGGAGTCAAATCAGAATGTCCAATAAAGTTTTCCAATATGTGAAGCAGAAGGAAAGCAGCCTGAAAAGCATCTACTGTTGCTCCTGGCAGGTGCATTAAAACTCCTTTACTTTCCTTCTACAAAGGGAAATACAGTCGCTATCTGGTGACTGGCATACTGGATTATTTTTGCCTCTAGCTTTGCACACAAAAATCAATTCAAGTGTGGAAATGAACCCAAGTAAGGGAAAGTGAGCCAATACTGTCAGCACAGAATAAATGATGCAGCAGTGGCAACAATATAACTTTTTCCAGAGAAAAGACGTTTATGAAAAAATGTCATTTCCTATTTCAGTAAAGGTTCGTTAGATTGCAGGAAGACTGCGTGAGCTTCCCATCTCTCAATTACATATTCACACATTTGTAAAGTTCCAGAAACACTTTATTTAAAAATGGAGTTGTAAATGCATATAACAAAATAACATACATAAATGTAACAAAAATAAATAAGGAGAACATGTTCATACAAAATAAGAACATAGTAATGCAAAATGCTTATTACAGAACGTAAAAGTATAAACGCCTGAAAGAACACAAACAGAATCTCGCATGAAGAGCCTGCACCTTTAATCCTTCCGAGCCATTTCCTACTTTCCACTCCGGTCTGCGGAAAAATTATGTTCCCAAGCATTAAACAAAACAAGGAATTATGGTGATGGTTTGGTACACTCTGTTTTCGATGCCTAGCTCTATTTTCAATTTATTTTTGCCCTTCTGCACCTTCTAAAACTTTTCTTCGAGCCTCTGTAAACTAGTGTAGTTCAGGCTTCCACAGTTAGCTGGAGTAGAGCATATTGAGTCATACATGAAGGCTGTTTGCTTTTAATTTTTTTAAAGAAAATATGAAATCCATTATACAACAGATTAGTGGTTTTGTTTTTACATCTCTACAAAAAAAGTTTTTGCATTTTTATTAACTGGTCCAACTTTTACTGACTTCTGAAAGCCTGTACAATTTAAAAGTGTACAGAAAGTAGTTTTTTTAAACAAATGTCATATAGGATTATTGCTGAAATATTAAAGACCATTTCATAAAAGCTGCAAAACTGTATCTTCAACCTTAATATATAGAGACTGATGCAAACATAGGAAAATTCCAGTCTATTAGTTACATTTAACAGAAATAACATTCCTCCAAAGTACAGTGTTCTGGAAATACAAAGTAATTTACTTTTATTTTTATTATTATTTCCAAATGTTAAGTTACTGGGACAACTTATAAGGAAAATAGGCTTATATAGGAAACTTTAAATAGACTTGCTTTTCAGTTGTATAAGCAAAATGTCTATGTTAGCAGTCGTCTTCCAGAATCCTTTTAAATATGTAAGACAGAGACAGTTTTACTAGCAAGACTACAGGAAAACATACAGAAGCAAATAAAATAATTTGCTCGGGAGTGCATCTATCGATCAAGCAAATTATGACAACTCTATTTCCAAGTCCCCTAAAGAAAATTTTACATCTCATGATCATTCCGAGGAACAGTAATTTCTTCCGTAAGCGTACGTTGCATTTGAATTGGTGAGAGCCCATTTGCCTCAATATGCCTTAAAATGTCCCACGTTACTGTATGTTTAAATTTGTTTCCTAGTTTCAACAAACATTTGGACAGAAATGAAATATGAAATACTTGTACTTTCATTAACATCAAAAAGACATTTGAAGAAGATCAAAAAGTGCCAAATAGTCCTTTCAGAAAGTGGATTAAAACACTGCAATGATAATACATGTACAGTATTATCAGTTTTCTATGTACACCAAAACACTGCTTGCTGTTCAATGGTATCGATATGTTCACCTATCACTCCCAGCAAATCTTAGTGCAAACATAATATGTGAACTTTGTAAACCCCAAGACAATTTACGCAGCAACAAGGTTATATAAATCACAGAACTGTTTGAGATTTTCAGTACACAAGAACGAATGCTTTCTGAAATCTGTCTTACCTTTTGCAGTAATGTGTCGTTATAGTCAAAGATAATGTTTCATATATAAATCATCTAATTCAGAATCAAATGTAACTGTTCAACAGTTCTGTACAAACTTTACTGGAGGAAGTCCATTCTTTAGAGCAGCTTGGCAAAGAGATTTGGGGTTTTAGTAACATTAAATGTTAGACTGCTTGCATGGCTTTTAAAAAGAAATAAATCTATTAAGGGGAAACTGCTGATATAATAATTCTTTTGCAAAGCACACAACCACAAAGGGCAAACCTGCCACAATCTGCTTTCCTACACTGGTATCTATGCATATCTTTATGATTTGAAAAGGATTTGTGTGACAATCAAAGCATCACAGTTAAAGAAAACTGGTTTAATAAAACAACTGCTGTTTGACCAAGCCTTTTTTTTTTTGTTTTAAATTATAAAACCAATATTATAATTTTTCCTTTATTCCTAAACATTCCACATGAAAGGTTTTTGTATCAACACTGAGATGTCACTCACGCAGTGTGGCATCTTCCTCTTCCCCATCTGGGTTAAACCTATTGAAATGTATGCTGAAGTCCGACTCGGATTCAGCATTCTCAAATTCAGGTGCAACAGGGACAGCGGCGGGTCGAAGAGCCCGAGCTTCGGGCTGGCAGTTTGGCTGCACTTGAGGGCGGGTACTTTGGGAAACGGGACTGGGTTTCGGCTTCGGCTGAGCTGGTAAGATGGGGCTGACGAATCCCAAGTTGCTCAGAGCATCCAGGGTACCATCGGGGTCGATCATAGCATTAATTGCTAAGCAATCAAGAAAAGATGAAAGGGATAGGGAAGAAACAATGAAAAATACGGTTTTCTGTTATCATAAAAAAAACCCCAACAAAATCATGTTTAAACACTTTTATTTTTATGATCACAGACATGAGCTTTTATGTGTGTTGCCCACTACAAAGGAGCGGTGTATCCAACATATATGTAGCTGATACATATATTTAAAAGCATTTACATATATTAAAACTTTTGATGAAATGAAACTGCACAAACTAAACACTGCCTGATGTGTGGACAGGAAAGAGATGACAGACTGTCTATGACTAGCTTATAGGGACTGAAAGATGGGATTTTTCGTCCTGCTTAGGGGGCTTTTTCTCTAACATTACCATTATCCTACGCTTCATTCCACCCCACCCTGCCCCCAATATCCATACCTGCTAATTCCACAGTTAAATTAAATTTGTGTGAAAGAGCAATCATTTATCCTTTTTAATGCATAAACAATGGACTTATTGTCCCTCTCCCTCCACATAGTGAGGGCAAACTGAAGCACCTAGTACAATTTCATTTTATTGTAGTATTAACATATTTGTCACATTTAACAGAACCTTTCTCTTTTTTATTTCCAAAACCGTACTAACATCTATTCAAACACCGCTGCATGCACAAGAAAATGATTTGGTGTTTTTCTCTGGGCCTTATTTCTTTGTTATTTTCTCTAAACTCAATATAATTTGTAATAAATTAACATTTTTTAATTAAAGTTGAGCATGAAACAAATACTAATTTGCCTCTAAAGGTCACTAATGACTCCTCCTGAAACGCTCTTTCTTAAAACATGTTTTATTGTAGGATTAAATCTGAATACTAAAAATAACAAATATAAGAAATTTACATCAAATACAGTAATGTTTATAAGTGATAAGCATGGACCACTAATCTATTTGACCACTCCAAACTAAACAATAAACTAAGTATAAACAATACACAAATAAGACTGCAACTTCTTTTGAAGATACTCAGTTTTTAGGTCGATTTTGATAAACAGAATATATGTCAAAATAGCAGACTTCATAAGCACAACATACTTCTTTCCATTTTATACATTGAGAAGTCATTGGATATGAAAAGCAAAGTAATTTTTCTGTTTTGTAGTCTGTAGGCTCCACAATTACAAAGAGTGGATTTAGTGGTGTGAAGGGAAGATGTCAAGAGCTAATCCTAAATTTTCATTTTATTGTATCAGATAATTTTGATTATCTAGCACACTCCTTATACTGAACTGTGCTACACATGAGGGTATTACTGATATGCAAAGACTATTTTATAAAGCCTAATCTCAGGATTCTCTATCACCTACTCTTTAATATTTACCCATAAAAAAGATTTCTATTAAGAAAATTTCACAAATGATTCCTTTGGGATTCTCTGGACTATTTCATTTTTAGTTGAGCCTTTTCTCCCCCGTATATAAAGCCATTATCACCCTTCTGTTTTAAAATAATTCAGTGATGTTTCTTTACCAAATATGCCAGCAGTTATATGATATTAATATATGTAACTGATACTATGAATATATTTTAATAAAATGTGATAATGTTGTTTCATGATATAAATATATATGTGTAGATACAGAACAAAAAAAATCTAAAGCAAGCAACAATGAAAGAGAAAAGTGAAAAATATTTGTACCTTGCAGCTGTTTCTCAACTCGTTTCAATTCCTGTAATATTGACGATATTTCCTAGGAAAGAAACAAACAAGTTTCATTAAGGAAAGAAAGACTCAAACTACCTATCAGTACTAAACAATATGCTATTCAGATTGTCCCTCCTGGCACAGAGAACACCCTCGCTGGTGGGGCCCAGCCATGTCCACCCTAGGTCCAGGGAGGCAGTGCTTGAGGCTGGGCAGCTGTGGCCCACTCAGAAATGAAGAGCTCCTCCGCACTGGCAGATTGCCGGGGTCAAAAAAACCTCACTCTGTCCCTCACGCGTCTGCTGCGCTACTTCTTCTCAGGCACATACTTGCAGACACCACGGTTCTGTAGAAATGGGGCAAAGTAACAACAAACCTTTAAAGGAAAGTTACAGCGCACACCCAGTATTAATGGAACAGGGTGATTTATAACCTTGTTCAGATGCGAGTCAGAATTGTAAGATGACTGCATCGGGATTTTGTCTGCAACCATCGGCCCTGTGCCCACGAGAACCTATACAGCGCACGGATGTTGGGTCCTCAGGACTCTTTTCCCTTACAGATTTTTCTCCTCTATGCTGTGCTACTTGCTAACACAGACGTAGCCACAGCAACGCACTCAGAAGTACAACGATCATTAAATGGACCACGTCATAAATGACCGATATGCAAATCCCACCACTGAAGGATCCTACACTGAAGAATACTGTTAATCCAGCTGCTGAGAAGAATTATCATTGGTCTTCAAAAGCTGAGAATTTTCAAAGGCACTGATTTCAGAAACCCATTTAACCCATTTCATAAACTCATTCAGTACTAAGTAATGTGATTTTTGTGGGTGGCAAAGAGATTGATTACCTTGGATTTTACAATGTCATTATCTTTAAGCAGATTCCACATCTGAACTGGACATAAATGTTCCAAGGACAAAACAAACATCAGTTACAGTTGTCCTCTGTTAACTTTTAATAACATTCTGTGGTAAAAATAAGCGCTGCATTTGAACAACATATTGCTCTGAAAACCGAGCAGAAACTTGAAAAATCACTGCATAGGCCAAAATAAACCAACCCAATACACTTTCAAACAATGTGAGATGCTTTAAAGCATTGAAAAAAAAATTGTAAAATGCTGAACTGTGAAATATACAAATAATCTTTTTCTTTTTTAATGAATGCCTTAAACCCCCATATTCATGGCATTTAGAATATAAAACATTAAACTCTAATCTTATTCTGGGAATGGACAGGATAAGAATTCTTTAAATACATTGAGTGTCTAAATAAAACCTTTTAAAGATTTTTGCCTTTGTATCATTGAAAATAATACATTCCTCTACTGATCACCTAGAAATTAGATAAGAGGCTCAAACAATCGCAGTAAAGATAACTAGCCCAGTAAAGATAACTATTTATACCATGCTTGATGTTTTCACAATAGGAACTTCACTTTCAGCTCGCAACTTGTTTTCAATTTCTTCCCAATTTCTGTCTTTGTCCTTAAATAATATTCTAGAAGAAAGAAATTCAAGAACAATATGTTTAAAATAAACGAAACTAAAATTGAAAGATTAGATAACAGAATATGAGAAATCAGCATAGGGAGCACTGAATAAAAGTAAAATCTGAAACACTGACAAATGATGGAATCCAACCATACAATTTAAATTTTCAGGGAAGCATACAGGGTTTCAACAATATCATTATTATTGACATTAAAATGGCAGTTCTGTAGCTAAATAATTGGTTTTGGTGTTGAAAAGACACAGCTGATCCTTTCCTCCAGCATTGAAATATTTTTTAAAAAATCTAACTATTTTCCAGTAGTCAGAGAATTCCCTTTTAACACTGCATTTTACAACTGCAAAACATAAGAGAAAGACTAAAAATGGCAAATAAATGCAACTCTTTTATATTTGTATTTTATATTAATTTACTGAAAAATAAAACACTTCAGGAAATTAAAAAGAAAAATGCATTTCATAGAAGTTTTTAATGAAAAGTTTCAACACATAAATTGTACGTACATGATTTAGTAATATAACTATCACTTGTATTATATGTTTAAAGAAATCACTTCTGTTATGTGTAAAGAAGTAAATTCCCAAAGCATACTGTGATATTCCCCTTTTTTATGTTTTGCTTCCCTGCGGTGATAAATAACTTTTGTTTTCATTGGCATATCATAAACACGATTTAAACTGTCTACATTTGAACAATTGAAAAAAAAAAAAGGAATATGCAGATATTTAAGGTCTGCGTATTCAATTGTTTTTTTTAAGTGATACCATGATGACAGGAATCCCAATCCACTTCTTCTCTAATTGGTATTTCAGAGTTAAAAGTACAAAAATAGCTGCAGTAAAACTGCTAAGCAAACAAACCACCAATTTAATATCATGACCGAAAAGTAGTACATTTTAAAGAAGTTATTAGTGTAGGTAGGTCTCCGAGGAAATAATTTTTAAGGTGGAAATTCACGATACCTTGAATCTCAAAGACCTTCAAATTCATACGAATTTGAAAGAAACCTGGGAGACTCAGTACTGCATTTCTCTTAATCTTTCTTGTTATTTATACCCTATGAAAAACCTCACTCTCTATTATCATCCTGTCAAGGAAGTCTAGTTTTCAAAACATGTACCCTGTCTTATCAGTACATAGCTATCCGTAGACAGCCCATGCAGAAGCTGCTTTAACTCTTCTGTCTTTGAGGTCTTCCCTCTCTGCTGCTTCAGAACATGCTTTTGTCAGATGCTTCACTGAGAGGAAGTGCTGCTCTCATTACACAATGTCACGAGATCAAGGCAAATCCCCACTTTTGCAAATGCCTTTAGTGTATTAAGGTACAAAGCATATAAAGAATAAACATTAATACATACAATACGCCTTTTGGGGGAAGGAAAAAATAAATTTAAAGTAATCAAAACTACAGTGAAGAAAACATGAAACACTTTATGGCCTCAAGTAGTGCCATCCTCTTGTAACAAAGCTGATCATCAGACATCTGACAAGATTGCTTTCATGTTCTGGAAGGGAATGCAAAATCTTGCAAAGCCATACAACTGCAAACCTGGATACCAGAAAGTTCAGTTACAATGGAAAATGTAGCACTTGCCTGACACTGATGAGTTTAATGAATAAATAAAAAGCAGAGCCAATTAAATCCTTTATAGGATCTTACACTAAAAAAATCAGGCAACTCCTGGAAATATTTGGATTCAGTATACAGAGAATCTTATGCAGCTATACTTTCCATACTTTAATAGCATTTGTATCACTCTTGAAATCAGCAGGAACATAGAAAATAAATATTTATCTGTCAACAGCACTAGTAGGAAAAATATAGACGTTATTGTGACATTGCTTGGTTTTTTTCATTTACCATCTTGCTCATGTTATATTAAAATACTTCTATCTTTATATATGTGATTAATGCCTTTGCTTGAATATGTGGTGATTTCAGTCTTACTCTCTTTTAGTGATAATGTTCTTACTTCTCCTTTACAATTTGAAAGCTTTCCATTTCATAGGTCATTTTGTTTAGAAAAAAAAAAAAAAGAGGAAAAAAATGAATGCAGTAATTTTAAAAATGTTATTATTTCCACTATAAAGCAGACAGGCCAATTTGTTTTTGCTATAATTTTAGGAAGCCTATTTCTTTCTCCCAGCATTTTTTCAATTCTTCATTTAGTACATGTTAATCTCTTGAGAGGGGGTCTTTATCTCCTTTGCTCGTCCTTCTTCTAACAACACTCTATATTGAAAACACATATTTATGAATGCTTTC